GAGGAGGAGATTGGATTTATACCCTGCCCTTCACTACCCAAGGGAGTCTCAGAGCGGCTTACAAACTCCTCTCCCTTCCCCTCCCCACAACAGACACCCTGGGAGGCAGGTGGGGCTGAGAGAGCTCTGGCAGAAACTGCTCTCTTTCAAGGACAGCTCTGACAAAACTTGTAACTGACCCAAGGTCATGCCAGCAGCTGCAGGTGGAGGAGTGGGGAATCAAACCCGGTTCTCCCAGATTAGAGTCCGTGCACTTAACCACTACGCCAAACTACGAAAAGCCCCTTGGGAGAAACAAACAAAAGCCAGGTTGCCACGGCGGGAGTTTTAATTTATTTATTCTGAAAACCAGGTTCCTGTGAAAGCGTACACTAAATAGGATACATTTTCCGTCTGTCAACCCTAAAACGTGGACTGCGTGCGGTTGGCCAGCATGGATGTGATGGGGGCGTGCCTTGGGCCGCGGGGACTTCCTTCTGGCGCGTTTCCAATATCAGACGCAAAGGCCAGCTTCTTGAAGGACCGGGACCTAGCAGAGGAAGAGGAGACAAGAAAGGTTAGTGCTCTTGGTTTGGTTGGCGGGCTGCCTTCCTCTAGGAAGTGCAAAGGGCCCCAGGGTGGTCCTCCGTCCTTTCCAACTGTGCGGTAACCAGGCCCTGCTCAGTTTGAGAGACGTAATGGTGCCACTCCCTGAAATGTGCCTCTTGGCTGGAGAGGTGCTAGTGAGTGCCGGGAGACGAAACGGAGCTCTTCTACCAGGCCTTCGATTAGGAGCCGCTACCAAAAACGATAATGAGCTGCAGTGGCTCAAGTGGTTAAGACGCTGAACTGCAGGCTGCGGAAGGTTGGTAGCTCAGCAGTTCGAGACCTGAGTGTGCCGCATGACGGAGTGAGCTCCCGTCTCTGGTCCCAGTTCCTGCCAACCTAGCAGTTCGAAAGCGAGAAATTGCAAGTAGATAAATAGGTACCACTTCGGTGGGAAGGTTACAGCGTTCCGTGCGCCTTGGTGTTTAGTCACGCCGGCCACATGACCACGGAAACGTCTTCGGACAGCGCTGGCTCTTCGGCTTTGAAACGGAGATGAGCACCGCAACCCTAGAGTTGGATTCGACTGGCTTTCGAGCAAGGGAACCTTTACCTTTACCTTTTTACCAATAACAACTAAGGCCCTTTATATCAACATCAACAGCCTCAGGTACATTGGACACGGACTGTGGCCATACTCTATATCATCTTATTATGGCCCAGTGGGATGTTACCGCCGCCAGCGTTTTACCAGCACTTTATCTGTATTGTGATCCGTTTATGTTTGAGTTTTATGATGCTGTTGTGTTGTGTTCACACCTGTGTTTTAATGTATTTAAATTTTTTAATGTGAGCCGCCCTGAGCCTGCCTTGGCGGGGACGGTGGGATACAAATTGAAATAAATAAATAAATAAATAAATAAATCCCCTGGCTGGCTCCCACCTCCTGAGAATGACTTCAAGGATCTGGTTGGTTATTTTTTTGTTGTTCAGTCGCACAGTCGAGTCCGACTCTTCGCGACTCCATGGACCAGCTCCCGCAAGGCCTTCCGGTCTTCCGCCGTCCTCTGAAGTGTGCTCAATTTCATGTTCGTTGCATTTATGACACTGTCTAACCATCTCATCCTTTGCCGTCCCCGTCTTCTTTGACCTTCAATCTTTCCCAGCATCAGGGTCTTCTTCAGTGAGTGCTCCCTTCTCATTGGGTGGCCAAGCGGAGCTCCGGCAGTAAGGAGTCCAGGGGGCGGGTACATGCAACAAGCTCCGCCCCCTACTCCCAGCAGCCCTCAGTCAGAGCAAGGAGCAGCCAGGTAAGCTGCAGAGCCCACCCCACCCCCGGCCCACCTTCAGGTACAAGCTCTCCCTCCTCTGTGAGGGCAGATCTGCGCGTCCCCCCCCCAATAGCTAACAATCCAAAACAGTCCAGTGGCACCTTTAAGACCAAGTTTTATTCAGGTACAAGCTCTCCCTCCTCTACGAGGACCGATCTGCACATTCCCCCCCCCCCAAGCTGGCAATCCAGAACAGTCCAGCGGAGCCTGAGTGGTGGGTGTTGCCTTCTGACACACGTCCAGTGATGTCAGGGTGTGTGGCACATGCAAATAAGTTATGCTAATGAGTTATGCTAATGAGCTCCTGCACTTCTTTTTCTACGGAATGACCCTGGCTACACAGAGGACAATGAACATCTTATAACCATATCAGCTGATATAGATACTTCTGGGATTCTCTGACCTAGGCTAGAGAGAAGTTCAATGTTCAGCTAGGAAGAAGAGACTCTGCCTGGGAAGACCCAAACCACAGGTCTCCACCCAATGGGAAATAGGTGATGCAGTTTGACGAAGTTTGCTGTAACCAGTAAGTCTGTTTCATTTCTCTGATGTAATGTGATATACAAAACGCTATGTCTCCCATCGTAACCTCGGAGACGCTGGTTGGTATCTGAGGGGGGCCAACCCCTGTTTATTTGGTTTCTTCCTGTTAATCGATTAACAATAAAGACCTTGGTTACAGTTTCTTCCTTCACAGGACTGTGTGTGTATCTTAAATTGGAACCAGGGAAACACAGGGGATTTGTACTACAGTAATTTGCTTTTCCCCCTACCCATACTATGCCCTGACGGGGATAGCCCAGGCTAGCCCGATCTCGTTAGATCTCGGAAGCTAAGCAGGACCGACCTTGGACAGTAGTTGGATGGGAGACCTCCAAGGAATCCCAGGGTCATGACATGGAGGCAGGCAGTGGTAAACCACCTCTGGAACGTCTCTTGCCTTGAAAACCCTACGGGGTCGCCATAGATCAGCTGTGACCTGACGGCAGTTTCTACCACCACCACCACCACCCTATTCTGCACTTTTGCTCTGTCTGGCAGTACTGCAAATGGGGCTGTGTATGTGTGATGAACTGTCAAGGGTTAACGTTCTAACAGAACAGGCTATTCAAACAGAATTCTGTGGAGAGTGTCGGTTAAGAAAATGACAGTTGGAAACTGACAGTTGAAGAAGAGACAGTTTAGCACTGACTGAGGACTGGGAAGGAGGCTAAGAGAATGAGTGGATCAAGGAGGATCCCCATTCAACCCAAAAAAGGCAAATAGCTTCTAGTGAAGAGAAGTAATCCCTGCCCAGTAAAAAGGGAGATAACTCTTAAAAGTGGAGTGACCCTTCGTCAGTACAAATAGAAGCATTTTAGGAACCTGTTTGTATGTTCCAGCCTTCTAAATGTGAAGTCCCAGTGAAACTCAAAACCTATGCTTGCAAGTTAAAGCAGAAACTGAAAACAAAGCCCCTCTTCAAAGTTTCAAAGACCTTGAGAAAAGCAAAAACACTGACTTTTTGGCAGCACATTAGCTGGATTTAGTGTGATCACACAGTTACTTCAGTTTTTATTATCGGTTCACCCCATACATCCTACCCAATTCCAACTGACCTTTCCCCTTCCAAGTTAAATAAAATATTTTGTTTATTTTGAACTTTCAAAAGTCTCTTGTGTGCCACTACAGAAGTAAAATACAGGCAGGTGATTTTGTCTGTTCCCTCAAGACCCTGGGCTGGGCAAACATCAAAATACATAATAATGTGACATGGCGGGACAACCACAGCCCCATAAAAAAGAAGAAAATAGTTACAGGCAATGCTCCCTCTAAGCTGGGGAGTCTTGTGAGCAAAAATGCTACTTTGTGAGCAGCCGGCATTACAAGTTGTGAGCGAGCGACTCGGCTTCTGTGTAAATCAGTTCAATCTGGAGCCCTCCTTCCTGAGCTAAGACAAAAATGTGTGAGCCGGAGGCTAAAAAACTGTGAGCGAGCTCACGCTAACTCGGCTTAGAGGGAGAAGTGGTCATAGGGGCTGCTCAGCAAGCAAGAAAGAAGAAACAAAGGGAAAGTCCTGTGCATGAGGGAGGGAAGAGGGCGAGATCACCGTAGTATGCGACAGGGACAATGTGACGCCAAAACAGCAGACAAGAGCAGAAGTGAGAGTTCTGTACCGCAGCATGCTGCTCGGTTCTCGGATCCTTTTTATGCCTTTCCCCCCCACAAAGCTCAATCACTTCTCTACCCATGGCCATTCAGGGCCAGAGCCAGTTGGTGAGGGGTGAACTAAAAGGAACTCAGGACCCAGCTATGAAACTGGTTGCTGCAGAACGCTGCAACAGCGACTCTCCTAAGCAGCTTCTTTGAATGAGATCTTAAATTCATGGACGACAGGGGCACCAATGGAGCCTCCATGTGCAAAGGCAGCATTTCTGGGACCAAGGTGAGGAGGTGGCTACCTCCACCATGCCTTGCTTGGGAATTTCTCAGGGGCATCTAGTGAGCATCAGTGGGAGACCAGAGCACTGTGTTCGGTAAACTCTGGGCAGGGGTCATTTTGTAGGAAAAGAGGTGCATGAGCTCATTAGCATGACTCATTAGCATAACTCATTTGCATGTGCCACACCCCCAGACATCACCGGAAGTGTGTCAGAAGGCAACACCCACCGCTCAGGCTCCACTCTGTTTGGGTGTGCTAGGTTTGGGGGGGGGGGGGGGACGGCGTGCAGATCTGTCCTCGCAGAGGAGGGAGAGCTTGTGCCTGAATAAAACTTGGTCTTAATGGTGCCACTGGACTGTTTTGGACTGGGGGCTGGGGGGGGGCTCTGCAACTTACCTGGCTGCTTCTTGCTCTGACTGAGGGCTGCTGGGAGCAGGGGGTGGGGCTTGTTGCATGTGCCCACCCCCTGGGCTCTTTACTGCCGGAGCTCCGCTCCTGTGCACTCCTGCAGGAAATGACCCCTGACTCTGGGTCCACCCGAGCAGGCAGTTCTTACTCTTCCACGGATCCCGCATCCTAGTCGTCGATGTACTCAAATGGCTCCGGGGGTTCTGGCTCCTGTTCCTCCTCCTCGATCTTTGGCCCGTGCGCCGCCACCGGCTCGACCAGCTCCTCGGTGTCCTCGCTGGTATCTCGCAGGACGATGATGCCGCCGATGGAAAGCTGGGGAAAGGGAAGCACAAAGTCGGTCTCTGCTCAAAGCTGGGTGAGGGGAGACCCCTTTCCTTTTAACCCGCGGTGGATCACAACCACCGCACGGCTGGTTACAAGCAGGCTGCTCTAGGGATGGGCGGCCGGCTGGTTTCCTCTCCTCCTTGGAGCTAAACTCCGCTGGCTGGTGCTAAAATGCCACGCCCGCCCCCACCCCTCTGACCAGCATGCTGCCTGCCAGATGGATACCCCGGTACAGGGATCCCCAACATGGCGCCCCTGGGCGCCACCGACACCTTTCCTTACACCCCCCAAGCGTTTTTAGAAAGCGGGTGAGGCCCGGTGGGGCTTTTGCCCAGGAAGGCTTCTGATTGGCCCCTGGAGATTTGATTGGTGGCGTGGATCTTTAAAAACGCTGCTTTGGCAGCAGCCGGCACCATGGCACAAGGGTTTCGACTGTGTGGCTGAAGGGAAGCCGCGGCAGCCTGGCAGCTGCACCCATCTCCTGCAGCAGCCGTTCTGCAGGCTGGGACTTACGGTCTTGAAGGGCTGGTAGCGGCAGCTCTCCGGCATGGTGAGGACCTTGAGCTGGGCAGGCATCACCCGGGCTGGGTTGTCCAGCAGCTGGAAGGAGGGCTCGGGCTCCTTCTTCTTCTCCTTCTCCTCCTTCTTCTCCGTCTCGTCCTAGGAGGGAGAGGAAGGAAGGCCGTCACGGAGTGCATGGCTCCAAACAAGGCACGAGGGCGGGTCAGTGTCCACACCGTGGCAGCACTCACGGATGGGTTTCTCTGCCACGCCTTCCTTGTCTCAAACACAGAATCACAGAGTCGGAAGGGGTCCTACAGGCCATCTAGTCCAACCCCCTGCTCCATGCAGGATCAGCCTAGAGCAGGGGTGTCAAACATGCGGCCCGGGAGCCGGATCAGGCCCCCAGAGGGCTCCTCTCAGGCCCGCAGTGGAACTGGCTGTCTTCCCCTTCTTCTTCCAGTTCTGCCGCTGCTGCGTCATCATAGCTTTGCAGCTTACACACACCTGAACAGCAGACTCAAGACTGCAACAGCACAGACACTTCGATGCAATGATTCAGAGTAAGAGGTGTCTGTTATCAGACACTGTTAAATAAACACAATATTGCAAGAGTGCTAACGTTCCAGACATGGTTTTATTTTAAGTAAAAATAAAAACCCTTTGTGTTTTGTGTCCTTTATAAAGTTTATATCTCCGCTACCAGGCATTACATTTTATGACACACATGGCCCGGCCCAACAAGGTCTCATCGATGTCAAATCTGGCCCTCATAACAAATAAGTTCGACACCCCTGGGCTAGAGCATCCCTGACGAGTGTCCGTCCAGCCGCTGCTTCAGGACAGCCAGGGATGGGGAGCTCACCACCTCCCCAGGCAGCCGATTCCACTCCTGCACAACTCTGACTGTCAAAGAGTTTTCCCTAAGATCTAGCCAGTCCCTTCCCACCCTTCATTTAAACCCTTCCTTGCGAGTCCTCTCCTCTGCTGCCAACAGGAACAGCCCTTCAAAGACTTCAAGAGAGCAATCATGTCCCGTCCCCCCCAACCTCCTCTGCTCCAGTAAGAAGGGTGCATAGAGACAGCTCAAGAGGTAATACAGGGGGGGCCACCGAGCTTTTCAGAGTGCCCTCCTCATTTTCCTGGCACTGAGGCTTGAGGGGAGGGGCTGCGGCTCAGTGGAAGGGCCTCTGCCTGGCATGCAGGAGGTCCCAGGTTCAGTCCCCGGCATCTCCAGTTAAAAAGGGCCAGGCAGGAGGTGATGGGAAAGACCTCAGCCTGAGACCCTGGAGAGCTGTAAAGAGGGGCTGTGGCTCAGTGGAAGAGCCTCTGCCTGGCATGCAGAAGGTCCCAGGTTCAGTCCCCAGCATCTCCAGTTAAAAAGGACCAGGCAGGAGGTGATGGGAAAGATCTTAGCCTGAGACCCTGGAGAGCTGTAAAGAGGGGCTGTGGCTCAGTGGAAGAGCCTCTGCCTGGCATGCAGAAGGTCCCAGGTTCAGTCCCCAGCATCTCCAGTTAAAAAGGACCAGGCAGGAGGTGATGGGAAAGATCTTAGCCTGAGACCCTGGAGAGCTGTAAAGAGGGTCTGTGGCTCAGTGGAAGAGCCTCTGCCTGGCATGCAGGAGGTCCCAGGTTCAGTCCCTGGCATCTCCAGTTAAAAAGGGCCAGGCAGGAGGTGATGGGAAAGACCTCAGCCTGAGACCCTGGAGAGCTGTAAAGAGGGGTTGTGGCTCAGTGGAAGAGCCTCTGCCTGGCATGCAGAAGGTCCCAGGTTTGACCCCCGGCAACTCCAGTTAAAAAGGACCAGGCAGGAGGTGATGGGAAAGACCTCGGCCTGAGACCCTGGAGAGCTGTAAAGAGGGGCCCTGGCTCAGTGGAAGAGCCTCTGCCTGGCATGCAGGAGGTCCCAGGATCAGTCCCCAGCGTCTCCAGTTAAAAGGACCAGGCAGGAGGCGGTGTGAAAGACCTCAGCCTGGGACTCTGGAGAGCAGCTGCCAGTCTGAGTAGACAATACTGACCTTGATGGACCAAGTATTTCCTCTAAGCTGAGTTAGTGTGAGCTAGCTCACAGTTTTTTAGCCTCTGGCTCACACATTTTTGTCTCAGCTCAGGAAGGAATGGCTCCAGAGCAAACTAATTTATGCTTGCTCACAACTTGAATGCCAGGAGCTCACGAAGTAGAATTTTCGCTCACAAGACTCCACAACTTAGAAGGAGCAGTGGTCTGATTCAGTTTAAGGCAGCTTCATGCGTGTTCTTTTTAACGGGATCACAGAATCATAGAATGTTAGAGTTGGAGGGGACCTTGCAGGTCATCTAGTCCAACCCCCTGCACCCTGCAAAAGCATAGCAGAAAGATAGCCCTGCAACATACCCGGAAGATGGTCGTCCAGCCTCCGCTTGGAAACGTCCAGCAAAGGAGCATCCACCCCCTCCCAAGGCAGTCCATTCTACTGCTCAACCACTCTTACAGTTAGGAAGTTTCTCCTGATATTTAGCCGGTAACAACTCCCCTGTAATTTTCACCCAATAGATCTAGTCTTGCAATCCGGAGCAAGAGAGAATAGATCTGCTCCACCTTCTACATGACAGCCCTTCAAATACTTGAAGACTGCAATCCTGTCCCCTCTAAGCCGTCTCTTTCCCAGGCTAAACAGACCCAACTCTTTCAGCCTTTCCTCGTGAGACTTGGATTCCAACCCTCTCACCATCCTGGTTGCCCTCTTCTGGACACGCTCGAGCTTGTCAACATCCTTCGTAGAATGTGGTGCCCAAAACTGGACACAGTTCTCCAGGTACGCTAAGGGTTAGGGTTAGACGCTGGGGATTGAACTTGGGACCTTCTGCACCCTTTCACCTGAATGGGGCCTGTGGCTCAGTGGTAGACCCTCTGCTTGGCATGCAGAAGGTTCCAGGTTCAATCCCCGGCATCTCCAGTTAAAAGGACCAGGTAGGAGGTGGTGGGAAAGACCACTGAGAGCTGCTGCCAGTCTGAGTAGACAGTGCTGACCTTGTTGGACCATGGGTCTAATTCAGTATAATGCAGTGTATTTTTTTTTGTGGATTACGCTAGTTGTGGCATCCCGCCCACTTACTTCACAGGTCTACCTGTGGGCAGGGCCGCTTCGACATTTAGCACCCCTGGCCCTCTGGCTGCACTTCCCTTCCTCGAGCCCCACTGCTGGACCTCCTGATGGCCCCTGGGTTTTGGCCACTGTGTGACACAGAGTGTTGGACCAGAGGGGCCATTGGCCTGATCCAACACTGGCTTCTCTTATGTTCTTACGACTGGGGCAGTGGTGCTCTGTATTCTTGGTGCTTTGGGGGGGGGGGGGGGGGGGGGGGCATCTGGGTGGATTGGACCACTGGTGGACCTCCTGATGGCCCCTGGGTTTTGGCCACTGTGTGACACAGAGTGTTAGACTGGAGGGGCCACTGACCTGATCCAACATGGCTTTTCTTATGTTCTTATGTCTGGGGCAGTGATGCTCTGTCTTCTTGGTGCTTGGGGGGCAAGGGTGGGAGGGCTTCTAGTGTCCTGGCCCCACCGCTGGACCTCCTGATGGCACCGGGTGTTTCTGGCCACAGAGTGTTGGACTGGAGGGGCCACTGGCCTGATCCAACCTGGCTTCTCTTATGTACTTACACCCACTTGCAAACCCACTCATTACCCACCCTTTCACTGATGACAGAGTGTGTGTGTCTGTGTGCAGCTGGAAGCGTGACTTCCATGGCGAAGAGAAGTAATGCCACCGCTGTGCCTGGGCTCCATGCTCTGCCCAGGTGGCACTGGGGAGCATATTCAGCCAAGAGCACCGGAGGAGTGCTTGTGTGGAGAAGGGGGAAGGGCATACGGGCAGGGGAAGACTGTGGGCAAGGGAGCCAGTGGCTGTGGGCCCGGGCAGCTGCTCCTACTCAGGGTCTGCTGATGTGGAGGATACGGATGGCAGGGAGTTGTTTTCGGTCGCCCCAGGTCAGACCATAGCCAGCGGATTGAAATTAAATCAGAAGAGTTTTCAGCTAAACATCAGGAAGAACTTCCTGACAGTCAGAGAGGTTCCTGGAACAGGCCTCCTCGGGAGTTGGTGGGCTCTCGTTCTTGGGAGGTTTTCAAGCAGAGGCTAGGTGGCCACCTGTCAGCAATGCGGATTCTGTGAACTTAGAGGGATCGTGAGAAGGGAGGGCAGGAAGCGTTGCCTCAGGGCTTAGTTCTTGTGGCCCTTTCTTACACGCCCAGGGAAATGCTGGTCGTAACCTTGGGGTCATGAAGAAATTTTGCTCCAGGCCAGTTTGGCTGGAGATCCTGGAGTTTTTTTTTTTTTTTGGTCCTTTGGTCATCTTCTGGGCATGGAACAGCGGTCACTGGGCGTGTGTGTGTGTGTGGGGGGGTATTTGTGAATTTCCTGCATTGTGGAGGGGGTTGGACTAGATGACCCTGGAGGTCCCTTCCAGCTCTATGATTCTGACTCCTAGATGTTGCAATGACGCTGCCAGGGTGCCCGATCAGCAGGAGCGGGGCGGCTTGTGGAATGTTCCGTGGAGCATCTTCTCCCATTCCGAGCTCAACGAGGGCGTTTTTCTGGGCTGTAAAGCTGTCTTGTAAGATGGCAGAAATGGGGAAAGGGCTGGGACTGATGGTCCTCTAGAGGGGGTGGGGTGCTATTTCAGGGACATTTCGCTCCCCGTACATACTCGGTGGCCCGAGATCCTGGAAGGAAGCCTCCTCGCAGCCTCGTTAAAATACCTCCGGGCGTGTGTCATGTTTTCCCTGCTCGCTGGCAGGTACGCGGCCTGGTCACATGTTTGGACAACACGGAAGGAGGCTGTAAATCCCCAGGGACTCGGGGAAGGAAGGACGGTCTGGACAATAGCAAGCCGGGAGCTGAAACGCCAAGAAGATTGTTCCAGTCAGGGCTGTGTCCGGCCTGAGAGGGTTAGCCAGAAAGTCTCTGGCTCACAACAACGGGTGTTCCTTTGGCGAGCAATTCACTCTCAGCCAGAACAATACGGGAATAATTAACATAAGAACGTAAGAGATGCCAATGTTGGATCAGGCCAGTGGCCCATCCAGTCCAACACCCTGCCACACAGTGGCCAAAAATACCAGGGGCTATCAGGAGGTCCAGCAGTGGGGCCAGGACACCAGAAGCCCTCCCACTGTTGTCCCCCCCAAGCACCAAGAAGACAGAGCATCCCTTGCCCCAGACGAAGAGTTCCTATCTATACCTTGTGGCTAACAGCCACTGATGGACCTCTGCTCCAGATGTTTATCCAATTCCCTCTGGAAGCCGGCCAATGCTTGTAGCCGCCACCCCCTCCTGTGGCAGTGAATTCCACGTGTTCATCATGTGGAGCCAGTTTGGTGTAGTGGTTAAGTGTGCGGACTCTAATCTGGGAGAGCCGGGTTTGATTCCCCACTCCTCCACTCCTCCGTCATCCTCCACTCAAGACGGAGGAGGATGAAGGAGCATGATTAAAAGGCCATCAGGAGGAGGAGGAGGAGCCCGAAGATTCCTTGCAGGGCCGCCCCACCTGTAAATAAACACTGGCTGAAACTCAGTGTGGGTGGAGGTCATTATTGAAGGAAGGAAGGAAGGAAGGAAGGAAGGAAGGAAGGAAGGAAGGAAGGAAGGAAGGAAGGGGCAATTTAAGCCCAGAGAACCTGACCCCCCTTCCCCGGTCCTTCCAATCTCAGCACTGCAATCCTAGACGTTGTTTCTAGGGCTGTGTCTAGAGTATACCCACCACTTCCATTTTTTCCTCTTCTTTTTTCTCTTTTTCCTTTTCTTTCTCCTTCTTCTTGGCTTTTGCAGTGATGGACAGCACAGCGGTGGACACCTGTGTGGGAGAACGACAATGCCTGTCAACACAGCACACCGGAAGCAGCCTGCAGCCATAGCCTGGGCTAGGGGGTAGGTGGCCATTCAAACGCTGATAGAAAGCCCCCATCTTCTATTCTAATAGGCACTGAGCAGTTATGGTTTTATACTGTCATCTTACTTTAATTGTTTTACTGTGTTATGGGGTTTCAATGCATATATTCATCTGTATGTCGTCAGCCGCCCTGAGCCCGCCACGGCGGGGAGGGCGGGGTACAGATTTAATACAATAAAAATAAAAGAGGGTGCCTATCTGAAGATGCAATGTGTGAGTGAGTTGCACCCTTTTTGGAATGAGCGGGATGCGGGGAGCCGGGATCGACGGACGCTCCCTCGAACGCTCGTGCTGCGAACCAGGGTTGGTTGCCATGCAATGTGTGGGAAGGGCCCGGAGCAGGCCTGTTCCTCCCCCAGCTCTGATCTCAACAGCGTCTGGCCTGTAGCTACAGTGGGGCCACTGGGGGCTCGGCCCCCTCCCTTAAAGGGCCAGTCCCCTTCTTTACAGCCCCCCCCCCTCCAAAAGCATTTAAAGGGATCTTTTAAATGAGCTGTTGTAGATTTTCCGGGCTGTACGGCCGCGGTCTTGGCACTGAAGGACCTGACGTTTCGCCGGCAGCAGTGACTGGCACCCTCAGAGGTATCACACAGAAAGGTGGAGTCCTCTCCGTGTCAAGGTGAGAAGAAAAATTGGAGGCAGGGAATTTAGATCTACTCAGGAAGGTGGGGTGGGGCTGAGTCGTTATCTTGTAGGAGTTCCCCAGGCTGTGGAACATGCGAATGGAGGACCTTCCTGAGGAGGTTCTTTTGCATATGGATTGTTTCTTGAGGAGGTTTCCTGTTTAATTTTTTTAATGCTTTCGAGAAGAGGTGGGCGGTGGCGAGCACCCCCCCGCAAGGTTTAAAGGGCCCTTTAAATCTTACAGGAGGAAGGAAGAAAGAGGGGCACGCGCCACCCCCCCTTCATTATGGCAAACAATGGCAGCCCCACCAGAAAAAATTGTGCCCCCACAAGCCACAAAATCTGGGCGACAGGCCTGCAAAGCATTAACCCCCCCCCCCCGCCACACCCCGCCCACACCCCACCAGAGAATCCAAGAAGCCAAAGGTTTCTTTCCCGACCGTCTGCCGACAGCCAGGCAACCCACTATGGCCAAAGCGAGGCCCGCGCAGGGCACACGAACCTTCTCTTTCTCCTTCTCCTTCGGCACCTCCAAAGGAGCTGGATAGGCAAAAGTCGAGGGCTTCACGTTGGATCTGTACTGCACTTTGGGCATCTGCGGACGGAAGGGGATTTGGAAATCGTCGTTAGAGGCAAAGTCAGTGGTAAGTAAAAGCGGCCGCCTCCTTTGGTGCACTTGCAAGGGGTTCGCACTTAAATCATGAAAGGCAGGAACCCCCCCCCCCCAACCCAAAAGCTCACGAGCGGGGGCGCTTCCCCAC